ATTGGGAAAGCCATCATGTGTTCCTTGCAAGACAGGAAATAAATGTAATAACAAATGAAACTGTGTCTAGGAAATAAGGGCAATAGTAATTATTGTCTTTATCACAGATTTACAAGAGTCAGGGTACTAATTGCTGTATTGGCCTACTTGTTGAAGCAATGTGGGAAGGCAACTGTAACTGAGAGGAGTTTTATCTTGTACTTTGCAACTGACTGTTAGATTAACCTCCTCTATGGAGTCTGGATTTTCTGCTATGCCCTATTTGTTAGTATATCAGAGACATGGGCCACAAGCATTCATGCTCATGTGTGTACATGTCAAGAATTCTTTTCATACAGAAGGCTGGGGCTGATGGGAATTGAAGTCTAAAATATCTGTAAAGCCCAAGACTGGAGGAAGTCATGCAAATCTGGGAAGAACCATACCATGATGTCTGTATTTAAGTTTTTCTCATAGCCACCACCCAGCCAGCGTATTATACAGTTAATTGCAAATATCCTTTCCAGGCAGTAGAACAGGTTCAGTGCCTTGCAGTGACTCAGTCTGCAATGGAATGCAGAGCTGAGGATACTTCCCAAATATGTACTGTGTCTCATAAAATTGCTCAACCACATGCGTACCCATAAAAGTTAGTAATAACAGATCATAGGGATGTGTAAACTATAGCGTTAGTGAATTACTGTATTTCAACAGACAAAAAGAACATTTTGATTCAGGCTTGAATTGAGTTGGCAGTCATTCTTGCCCTGTGGACATCTAAGAAAATTACCTGCTGAACAAGTGAAGGCATACAGTATTAACAATGCTGTGTGTGTGATCTTTGATTCTGTGCAAGTATAGAATAAGCGCAAATACTGGTAGTGGGTGCAAAATCTACCATTCTAGAAGTTGTAGCTTTTATTTTATGGTTTAGAGTAAGTGTCCAGCCCCTATTGCTGCAAAGATGGGATGGAAATCACACAGAATTTCCAAGGGTGACCTCAGGTGGGGCTCCAGACATCAGCGAGCAAGGCAAAGGGATACTGCAATGCTCCTTGGTTACTAGAAGCAGTATTCAAGATGGAAAATATGCAGATATTTGTCATATGTATAAATAAGTAAAAATATCGTTTACATTGCAGAATTCGCTTTTTCTTGGCACAATTTCATCTAGAATTTTAGTTTCTCTTAGTCAAAAATCACACACAAATGGGAGTATTAACTATCTGCTCACTGTTTCAGAAGAAGTGGTGGGTATAAACCATTTTGCTGCCCTTTCTCCAATCCTGCTACACTAATTAATCCATTGACCTTTTCTGTACTGACCTTTCCTATACTACTGTGTGCATTGCCAAACAGACCATGGGACATACAGGCCTGGATCCTGAGAATCTAGAGAAGAGAACTCTGTTCATGGGGTGCTCTCACTGACAAAAGGGATGGGGGCAGCGATTGTGCCAGTTCCTCAGTTCCCCTGTAGGCCTCAGGAAACCTGCTTTGGGGGATTAGAGAGAACTTCCAGAACATTGCGGGGAGTGATATGAAGAGCTGAGAGGAGAGAGAAAAAAGCTAAAATTACTTCCTTGCTTCTGCCTGGTCTGTTCTGTCCCTCTTGCTCTTCAACATCTACATGAAACCGCTGGGAGAGGTCATCCGGAGGTGTGGGCTGCGGAAACCTCAGTATGCTGATGATACCCAGCTCTACCTCTCTTTTTCAACCAATCCAGGTGAGGCAGTGGCCGTACTGAACCGGTGCCTGGCCGAGGTAATGGGCTGGATGAGATCCAATAAACTGAAGCTCAATCCAGACAAGATGGAGGACCTGCTGGTAGGTGGTTCGAACTCCTGGGTAGGTGACTTGGATCTTGTCCTGAATGGGGTTGCACTCCCTCTAAAGGACAGGGTCCGCAGCTTGGGAGTGCTCCTCGACCCAGAGCTGACTTTGGAAGCTCAAGTGTCGGTGGTGGCGAGGAGCGCTTTCCATCAGCTGCGTCCCTACCTGTAGGATGACTGCCTAGCGACAGTGATGCATGCATTGGTTACTTCCCGGTTGGATTTCTGTAACACGCTCTATGTGGGGCTGCCCTTGAAGACAGTCCGGATATTTCAGATGGTGCAAAATAGAGCAGCCAGATTGCTGATGAGGACTGGGCATTATTCTCATATAACCCCAGTCCTCTACCAGCTTCACTGGCTTCCCATCGAAGTCTGGGCTCAATTCAAGGTGTTGGTAATTACTTATAAAGCTCTTAACGGCTTGGGACCCGGATACCTGAAGGAACACCTGTGGCCATATTTACCCTCCCGCCCCTTGAGATCGGCAGCAGGTGCTCTCCTCCGGGAGCCTTCCGTAAGAGATATCAGGAAGCAAAGTACCCAGAGGAGGATCTTCTCTGCAGTGGCGCCCCATCTGTGGAATGCGCTCCCCAGAGGTCCGCCTGGCGCCGTTGTTATTTTTTTAGCGCCAGGTCAAGACCTTTATATTCAAACAGTATTTTAATAATCCTTAATATTTATAGTTTTAATTTAATTATTTATTTTATTTAAGACATTTCTATGCCACCCCCATTGCAACAAAGCCTCGAGGCGGCTCACAAAGAATACATAAAAACATATATAAATAATAGTAATATAACAATTTAAAGAAAAAAACATTTAAAAAACCCCAGTGCATTCTCGGCTAATTTTAAAATCCTAATTAATTCAACAATTTAGCAATTAAAATAAGTTTTAAATAAAAAGGTCTTAGCCTGGTGCCGAAAAACAAAAAACAACGGCGCCAGGCAGACTTCTCTGGGGAGCGCATTCCATAGATGGGGCGCCACCGCAGAGAAAGCCCTCCTCCGGGTACTCACCCTCCTAATATCATTCACAGAGGGTTGCTGGAGAAGGGCATCCGTTGCTGATCTCAAGGGGAGGGAGGGCATATATGGGCTCAGGCGTTCCTTTAGATATCCAGGTCCCAAGCCGTTTAGGGCTTTATAGGTCATAACCAACACCTTGAATTCGGCCCGGACTTCAATCGGGAGCCAGTGGAGCTGACGGAGAACTAGGGTTATATGAGAACAACGCCCAGTCCCCGTCAGCAACCTGGCACCTCTATTCTGCACCAATTGAAGTATCCGGACCATCTTCAAGGGTAGCCCCACGTAGAGCGCGTTACAGAAATCTAATCGGGAAGTTACCAGCGCGTGCGTCACTGTCGCCAGGCAGTCGTTCTCCAGGAAGGGACGCAGCTGATGTATCAGCCAAAGCTGAAGGAAGGCGCTCCTCGCCACTGCCGTCACCTGAGCTTCTAGAGACAGCTCAGGGTCGAGGAGCACTCCTAAGCTGCGAACCCTGTCCCTCAGAGGGAGTGCAACCCCATTTAAGACAAGGCCCAAGTCCCCCATCCCGAGGCCCAAGCCACCCACCAACAGGACCTCTGTCTTGTCTGGATTGAGCTTCAGTTTATTGGCCCTCATCCAGCCCATTACCTTGGCCAGGCACCGGTTCAGCACAGCCACTGCCTCACCTGGATTGGTGGAAAATGAGAGGTAGAGCTGGGTATCATCAGCGTACTGATGATTCCGCAGCCCACACCTCCTGATGACCTCTCCCAGCGGTTTCATGTAGATGTTAAATAGCAAAGGGGACAAAATGGACCCCTGTGGAACTCCATGGCATAACTGCCATGGTGCAGAGCCATAGTCCCCCAGCACCACCTTCTGAAATCGGCCATTGAGATAGGAGCGGAACCACCGCCATGTGGTGCCTCCAACTCCCAATCCCGCTAGCCTATTCAGAAGGATACCATGGTCGATGGTATCGAAAGCCACTGAGAGGTCCAGGAGAACTAACAGGAACGGACTCCCCCTGTCTCTCTCCCTGCACAGGTCATTGTACAGGGCGACCAAGGCATATTCAGTGCCGTACCCGGGTCTGAAGCCGGACTGAAATGGGTCCAGATTATGCAGCCAGTGTGTTTCCAAGTTTTAGTTGCAATTGTAATTCTATTTGTTTTATGTATTTGTTGTTGTGAGCCGTCCCAAGGCTGTGTAGCAATGGGGACAGCATATACAAACTTTAAATAAATAAACTATGTGGTTTACTGCAATAAGGGCACAATATAAGCAGTATTTGTTTGAGCATAATACTAAGGTCCCTGTACCTTATAATGGTAATAGATCAATTGAACTAAATCCATAGCTTTAAAAAAGCTCTTCAATACTTTGAGTATAGAAGCAATCCAGTTTTCCTAAATAAATTGTTAAAGTAATTTCCATGTGCCTGCAGTTCTTCCCTGTCTACCACCCCCGAAAACAATTAACCTTCAGCCATGGATATTAAATATACCAATGTTGCTTTACAGTGGGCAAGCACATGGCTTGCTGATTTTATGATCCCCTTCAGTTCAATTTAACAGCTTAATATTTGCTGCAGTTGCCCAGCAACAATAGAATATTTTTAACGTGTTCTTTACGATATATTCAGGCTCCAGCTTGACAGGATGAGCAAGATGAGCAGCATCAACATATCTATTAGTGTGCAGGGGGGGTGAGGTGGGTGGATTTAACCATGAGCCTATCAATAGAAAACAACCCTGAAGGTCTGTTTGTGGAATATAGCACATCCAATCTTGTAAATTTAGCAACATCTGCAACACAACGAGAACAGAGAAGAAAATGGAAAGGAAAGGGATGTGTAAGCCTGAATGAAAATCCTTGATCTTGAGATGAAGCATCCTTGACTCCAGCCTTCTGCAAATTCTGGGGTCATTTTATGTCCCACATTTTTTGTCTCCCAGAAGGAAAGCTACAAATGGCAAGAGGTTAACATTTGGGGACATTATGCAGGTGGCAGAAGACAGAAATATCCTGGCAGAGGTATTGTGTAGGTTTATTTCTTTGTAAATTCTGCAATGTAAAGTGATTTGGGGGAATCTATTTAACCCCCTCTGATTGAAAAAGCTAAGACTCCTGAGCTAAGAAAAGTCAGTGCAGTCATGCTTAATTTCTCTTGCTTTGTTTTATTTATTTCAGTGACCTTTGGTATCATGTTGCCCCATTTTCCTTGCTGAGAGTCATGAAGCCACAGTGGTTAGAATGCTGAACTAGGACCTGACAGATACATGTTGTAGTCCCCACTCAGCCATGAAGCTCACTGCTTGACTGTATCTCAACCTAACCCACCTCACAGAGGGAGGATGAAATGGAAAGGAGGAAGGCCATCCAACCCACCTTGTCTTCCTTGGAGGAAGCAAGGCAAGATTTGTTCTTCTTCTTCTGCTCCCCAGGGAGAGTCAGAAGAGCTATTCAGGACTGGACATCTTATTCAATCATTAATCTGGCTTTCGAAAATTCACAGCAAGCTGCCTACAGACTTTGAAGCACATCTTCACAATGCTTTTGAAAAAGAAAGATAATGAGATCCTTACGAAGCTGCATTCTCTGGTTGGTACCATGCTCTGAGATTTTTCTGCACTTTTGTAGAACTGCAGCATATGCAACCCTCTGCAGCAACCACAAAGGCATGTTCTTCTAATGGGGAAAGCAATCATCATACCTACCTGCCTCTCCTTTGCAGAGTGGAGCATCATACCATGCTTGCATTAGAGAACAATGCAACTATATTCATATATGCAATTATATTCATTCTCAATATACAGAAATTAACCTTACCCTATGTATCCTCTCCTGCTAATTATACTAACTCAGTATCCTCTCAGTAGGAAAGTCAACAATAAATTATTAGGGAAATAAGCCACACAAGTAGAAAGGGGATATAATTATTGTTTCCTACTAGAATGAGACTGCAAGATGCTAAACTTGTTTAAAAAAGAAGCGTTTGCACCTTCACAACTCCACATTAGATTTTATAGATTGCATTACATACCAGTTTTATGGGGCCTTAAACAAATGCACCAAGTATTTGGCATCCAGGCTGCTGTGGTTGCTAAGAGATTGGTACTTATGGAGTCAGTCCAAACATTCCAGCAGTCCAGACATTATAAATAGCAGGTGTATCTGTAAAGAAAGAACAATTTACAGAAAACAAGACAAACTCAGTACGTACGAATAGGTCATTTTGGAACCAATTCAGGCTTGATGTTCTTCTCGACTTGTTTCAGTTGCACAGGCTGTTTGTTGTTTGTTCCTGTCTTTTCCTAATTTGAAGATGATTGTAAGGACTTCCTACATACTCCCAATGCCTCTTTTCTTTCCACCAAAATGCTGTCTCTCACAAATAATCCCTCCAACTCAATGACTCTTACACAACATTGTGGCGCCAGACTCTTTTTTAGGAGCAGGTGTGGTAAGCCCACTGGGAATGGACAGAGCCCCACCTGTATCTTCTCCTGCTTCATCCCTCCCGCCCAATAAAAAAACAATCCTATTTTTCCCTGTTGTACTTATGGAATACCACAGGAGTAGTATCAACCATTAAAAATAGTTGAATCTTACAGCCTTTTCATATATTCAAGGCATTTACTGTGAACTCATGATTCCTCACTTAAGGCAATTTGGAGGTCCTTAATATGCTGTCATCCTCTAGGGCTCTTTCCGTGCAAACATTTTAGCAGGGTTTTTTTTCCTAAGGAGGAAAGATTGGTATATCCATATAGGGCAACATTAAACCATCATGTATTTGTCCAATTCTGCTATTCCACAGCACCATCTAGTTGTTGCATAATGGTCCATAAAAAAAGACAGAGAAGAAAAATCCAGAAACAAGTGCGTGTAAAGGACTCCATGAAGAATATGGAAGCGAAGTGCTGGGTTAAAAGCTTCATATAAAAAAGCATTTACTTCAGCATTGGTGTTGGGAGAGCAATCTTGACCATGTCTGAGGTCAGGAGGGTAGGGGACAGACTGTTCAGCACACAGAACCCCATCTTTCCAAATCTCATTGCTGCTCCCTGCTGCCCCAGCTTTTGCTGCTTGAGGAAGTTGTCTCATTCCACCCAGTGCTAGAGCTGGCCCTGAGAGCCATGCAAACCTCTGTATTTGGGTTGCTCATTCAGCTCTGTTTTGAATACAGGGTTAGCAAGGGCAACCAGCTTCAACCTCATGTGGTCATGTATGGTGGTCCACAAGCAGCTCAGGAAATGCACATTTTTGCTGACTACCTGGGACTTAAAACTAGGGGACTCAGCAGGAACCTGACAGGCAACAGTGCAGCTGGCAAATTTGGCTTGGTGGATTCAAGACTGTGGGGACCTGGATTAGTTCCTGTGGATGTTTATTTATGTCCATTGTGCAATTCAGGTCCAGCTAATTCTGCCTCTCCTTTAGGAGACCAGGAAGGAAGGCCTGCATTCCATTTCCTTCAGCGGTAAATGATCTGTGACATATCTTATTTGAACATCTTTTCTGAAAGGGTGTTTTTTAATTCTTGTTCTGGCATCATGCCCAACCATGCAAGCGCAGTGCAGGATCAGGATCTTGTTTCATCAGCAGTGCTGGAAATAAAAGAGCTATTCTATCATGCTTCTTCAATGGAGTTTAGTTTGGAGCTTGGCTTCTCCTACATTCATTCTGATGTATATACCACCAGCACACAAAACTAAATCAATTTTCCTAAAACCGTTTTTTGTATGGTCTAATGGTTGTTGCAGGCCCGTTTTTGGCATAATACTACTAGGAGTTGCATGTTTTGTACTTTTTATATGCAAAAAGAATGTTTTCATCATGATAAAAATACAACCAAGGGAGAAAGGGCTGGTTGAAGAGAATTCCTTAAAATGTCAATGGACACAGAGTATAGAAAGGAAGGTGTGGAAATCAGCTTGTACAATAGGAAGGCAATTCACAGAGATCATCAGATAGAAAATATATTAGATAGCCAGCATGATACAAAAGCAGACATAGTATACTAGACTTTCAGGCACTGTCTAGATGTCTTGGACTACAACTCCTGTCATTCCTAATTGGAATTGTGGGAGTTGGAGTCCAACACATGTGAAATATGCCTGGTTGGGGAAGGTTGCATCATACCAACTACATAATGAAGATGCAATTAAGCTGTTCAGGCCTGCAATGCCAGTTTTTGTTTTGCATAAGTGAGATAACAAAAGGCAGTCCCATTTTCAAAAATATGCCCTTGTTATGGAGATTCACTTTGCTTTCCATTTCTAGAGTGATGATACATTCTTTTTTGTTTGTGTGTTAGATGGGGAGAGACACCCATGCCACTTTTCCACTAGTGAAAAGCCTGATGCTCTCTGATGAACTTCTGAAACTGATATTACAGACTGTTGAGCCTGGACTTTGGAAACCCACATTCAAAATCCCATTCACATTGAATGGGATACTAGCAACTAAATCTACCCACAGGGTTGTTGTGAAGAAAAAAATGAACCCCATATACTCTGCCTTGAGCTGTTTGAAGGAAGTATGGGGTACGATGCTGATTTCTGGTCCTGGGTTACCTATGAGGAAGAAGCCTTCTTAGTTGCCCTTCCTCCCTGAGCTGGCCTACCTGCTCCATCCTATTGCTGCTCCCTCTAAAGCCAATTTGGACCACCTGTACAGACAGGGAGAGAGGGAAGACAAGGAGGCTCTGCTCCTCTCTTGGCTCCTCTCATGCCTGGCTCACTCCAAGAGGGCAGCCAAGGGAGGCAGGAACAGTGTCAGGGCCGAAAAATGCTCCAGGGACTGGCTGTGGGCTAGGCAGATGCCCAGCAGTGCTGACCACTGCCAGGGCACAGATGTAGCAAACATGCATTCAGAGAAGACAGCCAAGGTGAGAGCAGGAGTCCTACTTATGGAGCCAGCTGCTGAGGCTTTGTTCAGCCTCATTGGCTTAGAGTCTATTCTTGGAAGTTTTGCACATCCAGAAGGAAGGAGGTTGTTTTCCTCCTGTCCCCAGTTTTGACCATTCTGTGCTCCTCTCTTTCTCTGGACTACAGCATCACTGTGGGAAATTCTTTCCTTTCCCAGAATGATCATTTAAAGCTGTTACAGTGATAATGTGCAGTAATCATGTAATACAACCTTTCTCAACCTGGTGTCCTCCAGATGTTGGACTGCAATGCCTACCATCTCCAGCCAGCAAGTTCAATGTGCCAAAGGGCATAAATTTCTGCTCCATGGTTGCTAGTAGGGCTGGCAAATTCATCAGGAGTTGGTGTTATGTAGTGGTTAAGAGCACAGACTGGGACTCAGGAGATCAGGAGCTCACTGGGTGACTCTGGGCCTGTCACAGACTCTCATCCCAACCCACCTCACAGGGTTGTTGTTGTGCAGATAAGACTAAGCAGAACAGGAGAATTATATAAGCTGTCTTGAGTTTCTTGAAAGGAAAAAAGGTGGGATATAAATATAACAAATAAAGTTGCATGCTGTATTAATCCTACTCAGACTAGACTTATGGAAAAGGATGGGAGTTGACTTAGAATGCCACTGGATGCAACCCATTACAGGGTGGCTTCACACCACTTAATAAGAATGCATTACAGGTTGAGGTTGCAAGGTGGGAGACAGAATTTGCTAAGGGTGTGCTTTTTTGTGGCTCCCTGCAGCTAGGACAATGTCAGCTTTCAGGTCCAACAGGTGATTTCTGAGTCAGTGAAAGCACTTTTCAGATGTTTCACTGTCTAGTTCCATGTCCCCTCCCTAAAGGAATGTAAAATATTGCAGAGACTGAAGGTGAGCTAGACGGTTCTCAGTACAATGTCACTAATCAGAAGACATTGTGCAACTATTCAGTCTTCTCCTTAGCAGATTTGCTGTGGTCAGAAAAGGGTAGAAGAAGTGGTGAGAAAACAGCAGAGGGTTATAAACGGAAGAAAATGTCTGGATCACCCCTGAAAGCCACGCTTATGTCAGGGCTCAAGTCATTGCACTAGAAAAAAACAAAAAAACACCCTGAGTTCTAGAGGTTTCTCTCCAATGTGGCTACCACCTTTTACAAGTGGTGGTGGGGGCTGGGGTTGTTTTACACTATACGTCTCCCTGCCCCCACATGAAATTGAAGAGGTAAAAGTCATTCTGGTCACTCTTTACCAGTTCAGAAATAAACAGTTGAAAAGCAACTCATTGTTACTTATGTAAATACTTGGGAAGTTCAGTTTTCTATATCAGCTTAGATTTGTGTAACATGTTACGGAGCTAGAACAAACATTTCGTTTTTCAGGCTGTTCAGCTGACCCTCTGAATAAAAACAAAGATAAGAACCACTCCAGAACTGGTTGCTTCTTGTCTACTCTATTAGGCCAGGACTTTTGCTGGATAAACAGATTCAAACAAAGGAGAGATTCAGAAGGGTGCCTACATTTCTTAAGGTTTGATAATGGACAGACTTTTAAGTGATTATTAGGGCTGGCCTGGAATTGAGCAAGCCGAGGCCGCTGCCTCAGGCCAGGTGTATTGGGGGTACAGCAGAAGCAACAACCTGCTCTCAGCCATTCCTCAGGAATAGTCCCACTCCATTCTTTGGGGTTAGGGGCCTATATAGGAAGTGCAAGCAGGTGGTACAGTAGTGTGGATTTGCTCCATGTAGTGATCCGAAAGGAAATATTCCTTTAAAGCCTGGTTGGCCAGGTAGGGCTCTCCTAGCTTGTTCTGGCCCCACTGAAATCTAACAGTGCAGCACATGAGGGAGGTCCTTTTTTAAACGAAACATCACTGATGTCCTGCAGAAATTAGATGGTATGGTAGTAGCAAAAAGTGACTGTTCTAAAGTCAAAAAAATGCTGAGATGGGTGGGGGGGGGCCAACCCCGAGGGACATTGTGCTTTTTTGACCCCTGACAGTTGCCCATCTTTGCTTTCAAATAAATTCAGGAAATATATGGAGAATACTCACAGGGAGAATTTTGAGAAGTCTGGGGAAGAGCCAGTGTGGTGTGAGAGCCAGTGTGGTGTAGTAGTTAAGAGCAT